TCAAGTTCCTATAGTTATTTACACTCCTTGCATCTCACTAACTGTATTACATTTGCACAAAAAGTATATTTGCAGCCATTACTTTACTATCTCATTCATTTGCTATTGATACATTGTTATTTGCACTTATTGTTGGAGTTATTCTCTTATTCATTTACTTTACCTAACTGCATATTCTCGCAGCTTGTACTTTATCTTCCCGTTGAGTTACATTTTAGCTACAAGTTATTTATTGCAATTACTAGAATCCGTTGTTTGTTTACTTGGTTCAACTGCAATGGTGAACAAATGCACACACTAAGCATTCATTCCTCTATACTTAGTTCCAACCACTCAAGAAGGCTTTGAGATTTTTATGTTTTAAGGGAAGTTTTTAAGTTATACCCAATTCACCCCCTAGGTCTACTAAACTAGGCAATAGAGATGGCCCAATGGCTTAAGGTAAGTCCTCCAATTTCTCTTCATATGCATTAGTTTTTCTTAATTTAGTTTAATTCTCTTAGTTGTAGCAACTTTAATATAATTTTAGGATAAGCCCCTTTCATTGACTTGTACATGTATGTTTCTAGGTATAAGTATGATCCAATGAATAGGAACAATCCTCTTTAGAGTTGGTTTTTAGTTGCATGCTTGTATGTTTTACTGCTCATGCATCACAACCATGTATATTGTTCATGCATCATGTAAAAGCAATGATATTATTGCTTGGATATCATATAGCTCTTGCACCTAATTAAGCATGTAGACTAGAAAAATAGTTTTTATGAGACTAATGAGAACAATACTACTCGCCTAAAATCCCTTTAAAAGAGGTGGGTTGAATAGATGGAGCTAAGTGAGGTCCTCCCAAATCACATGCATGTGAGGTTTGATTTGTTGGAAAGCTTCCTAATCTAGATAAAAAAAAAAAAAAACTAGTTGGGGAAGAAAATATATAAATAATATATTATTAACCTACTAAAGTATATTTGCATCACATAGTATTGCTTAAGCTTGTATTTGGTTTGACTATAGAACCATCACTCCTACCTTCAATCCCAATTCTGCTCTAATTCAAACTCTACCCAAGGGCTCGCGTATTTTCACTAAATAGACATTTGAGGTTTAAAACGATGGCTCTCAAACACTCAAGACTGCTTAGTAAAACATATGAATATGGACTCTTAAGTTTAAAGATTTTTATTTATGTCTCAAACGTCAATTTTCCTTCTTAATGAGTTAAAATGTGTTTTATGACTTTTTCTTCAAAAAGTTGCCTCACATTTTGATAGAAAAGCCCATGTTTTTTTTTGTGGAACTAATGCTACTAGTAAATCATTTCCTTTCATTTTTTCCTTATTTTTTCTCTTCATATACCAAAAAAAACACCCATGATTTCATAGGGGTAAATATGTAAAACAATCTTATTTAAGATGTTATTACATTTAGATATTCAAATAGTTAATTGCATTTAAGTGAAAGAAAAGCAAAGAAGCAAACTTTCACTATTCAGACTTTAGAGCTACACTCTAATTCTTTTTACTTTCTTAAATATTTCAGAGTTAATTTTTACCAAATGCAGCCACCTAAGAGAAACACCAATTTCAATTTTAGAACTATGCTAGCCAACATGAAACTTGGTTGGTGTTTGGATACTCACCCCTATTTTTAAAGAAAAGGAATTCACCCCTATTTTAGAAAATGCTTTAATTTAAAAAAAATAACATTTTGATAGACAAGGATTTGGTAATTTGAATTTTTTGTATTCATTTTTATGTGCTAACACCATCTTGTGGGAGAAAACTCTTTTGACTTTTTCTAAAGCTATCTTTGTCAACTTAAAAAAAAAAAAAAAATAGGTTTCCATTTTTTATAGTGTTCCATAAATAATAGAAAGCCAAGGGATTTTGCAGCCATTATGTATGGTTTCATTTCCAACAAAAACAAAAAAAAAAACTATTACATTAGCAAACCTATATTAAATGTTTTGCAATTGTAGTAGTTGTTTTTGTTTTGAAAATAAAATTCATTCCTATTGGTGAAGACCCTCTAAAAGAACCTTGTTCCTACAAAACCCCCAAAGTAATTTAACGAGTCATTCTTTTGGTCTAGTTAGATGTTTGTAGTTTGAAAAAGTAACTTACCTTTCAAACCTCAAACTGTTTGAAAAAATTGTTATTAAGACCCTCTTATATATGTATAATCTTGATAACATGGGTCATTTAAAATTTTAGATAAATTTATTGTTTTTCCCCTAATTTTTTTTGTATATTGCCCTACTGAATAATATTTATAGAAGAATAAAAAATATTAATAAATTATTAAAATCTTAAAAGAAAATATCAACATAATAAAATATTACTAAAAGAAAATTTGTATTTAATAATAGTATAGTAATTAATGTTATTAACAATATGAATAAAATAGTAAAATATGAATAAAATTTTAAGTATTAATAAAGAAATAATAATATGACAAATATTATTTGACAATAATATGAAGTTAAAATACTATTTGTTTATATTTTATTTGTAGTATAGTATTTTTTATTAATTATTATTAAAATATTTTATCCTGTCAATAAAACATGATTTTGTTCATAATATTTTAATTTATTAATTCAGTAACTATTATATTATTAATATTTTTTCTACTTTATTTATAAATGATTTATTTTTTATTATTAATATTTGGTTTATAATATATACTTCATTAAGCTATTAAGTTTGTAATCTTTTTAGTATTATCATATTTGTTATTATTTTATTGATTTTTAATATTGTTAGCTTATGTTATTATGTTTGTTAATATTTATTAGTACATTAGTATTCATTGTTTATTTCTATTATTTTATTGATATATTTTTATTGTTATTATTTTATTAATAACAATATGTTTTTATGTTATTAATATGCTATTACTAATGTTTTAATTTATTATTAATATTTTAGTATTTTCATCTTTGTTTATTTATTCTTTACTATTTTATTATTTAAATACTACTACTAATAAAAATTATCATTATTATTTGTGTTATTTCATCGTTATTTTATTATTATGACTTTATTTTGTTAATATTTTGTTAACATTTTATCATTTTGAGCTATTAGCATTGTTTTAGGTAAGCTATTGTCACATCTTAAGCTATTAGAAATTCTAAATTTATATCTCTTACTCCATTCCCCTCTCCAACCCCAAATCTTTCATCCCCCATATTATATTTTACACTTCTTTTCTAGTACCTTTAGGTCTCTTCCTACAACAATCTTCTCTTTACTTGAAATTTCTTGAATTAATTCTATTAATTTTTTTTTTTAAGTTCTCTTTTGGTATTTTCTTTTAAACCCACTTGAGGTGTATAAACACTAATTATATTAATGATTTCCTCACTAAACACTAGTGTAATTAAAACTATTCTATTTTAAATTCTTTTAACATTTAAAATTTCAATTTTTTTATATCCTTTCTATTAATGTTGCTACTCCATTTGTATTATTTACTTTTCCTTTGTTTCATAATTTATAATCATTATTTTCTTATCCTTCCATTTAGTTATTTTATTAAGTATGCAATATTAACTTTTTTTCCTCTTCATAGTTTCAACTAATTCCGTAATCTTTTCTATTAGGCTGTGTTTGGTTTGAAGGAAAAGGTAGGGAAAGTAAGGGAAATATAAGGAAACCTTTAAAAACCTTGTATAGGTTTATATAACTTTCCTTTTCTTTCCCTACCTTTTCCTTCAAACCAAACATAGCCTTAGTGTTTCTAGAGTCCTACTTGAGTCTGTCTTGGACTAGCTTTCCAACCCCGCCTTTCATCTAAAAGAATGTAAGTACTCTTTCCCATTTTCCATCTCAATGAGATATAATTATGAGACACAGCTTCTTGAGAACACCCTTGCCCATTTACCACATTTGGTTTGTAGAATGTCATTTTTGAGGGGAACACCCTAGCATGAGCATGAAAAGATATATGTAACCAAATTGTCCCCAATTAAATGCATATGCTTTCACGTAATTGGTGAAATTTTTTTCCTTTTTATTGAAAAGATTTTCCCTTTATTATCAACAATGCTACAACTGTTTGAAGAAGTTCCAATAGGACTGAGATTCCCAATCACTATATCAATTCATAATGAAATTTGAAAAAATGAGTACAAAACAGCTGTAGCCAACATATGGATAAGAGAGAAGAAGATAAGGAGATGGAGAGAAAAGAAGGCCACACCACACTTCCAGGATTTTCTAGCGCTCAAAGAGAACTTGTATAAAAGATAAGGCTATCTAAGACTCATATTCTTTTTTTTTTTTTATCCAGTAATACTTTCAATCCTTAAGGTTGTGTTTGGTTTGAAGGAAAAAATAGGGAAAGGTAGGGAAGCCTTTACAAACCTTATATAGGTTTCCCTACCTTTTCCTTCAAACCAAACATAGCCTAAGTGTGACAAGCACTTTTCTCCAATGACACTTTCAATCCTTTCTCAAGTGTGACAAATTGATATTGCTACTAGAATGGCTAAAGGTCGATCAAAAAGATATATGCAATTAATTTTGGAATAATTTCCCTCCACCTCTACACCCTAATATTATTAGCTAGATCCTCTCTCTCTCTCTCTCCTCCTTATCCTTAATGGAATAATAGCCTCTCCTTGGGCTTAGAATCAGTGTTTCCCAAGATTATCTATTCAAGGAGATGTGCTCGAGATTACATGGCTCTTGTTATCCGCCCCACCCTTTCTATTGCTAACACCATTTTGGAGAATGCCTCTCTTGTAAACATTCATACAGATAAATTTCCTTTCTTTTCTGAAAAGCAAAATCAGGTGGAAACCCAATATTTTTGGACTCAAACCCTACCAATTGGAGATTGATAGGGCAGAGTTTTGGGGTAACCAAATAACCATAACACTCCTGATGTGACATGGCACATATCCAAACAGCATCACTATATCTAGCAATTCAAATTTCTATCTACTTATTTTCTGTTGTGTGAGCAGATTAGGAAGAGAAAGGCTATGTGAGTGAACATAACATCAAGGCTTTGCCTTTTGCATTACTTTAATAAATCATGCTTTGTGACACCACAGTTTGCACCAGAGATGGTATATTGGCAGTAGTTGACAAAGATATATGATACTCTTGAGGGGTATGTTTCTGTTGTTGCTTGACAATGATATAATATTTACCTAGATTGTTTATACATCTCTGCTGCAACAAGAGTTGTGCTGCCAACAGATAACCAAGAAGAACATTTCCTTCTAGGCAATAAAATTCTACTACAAGCATGATATGTATAGCTTTACCAAATCCAACCAAGTCTTGATGATCTCCATGGTTGGTTGTCTACTAAGTTACAAGAAGAGGCTGAACTGAGAAGGAAGCAAAAGCCAAGTGGAGTTAACATTTGGCAACATTTAATTGGTGGAAAACATGCATGCTCATCAGGCTCAGACATCATATATAATTGGTGCCACCATTATCAAGCTTTGATGCGCCTCAATGCAGCATATGCTATCAACCTGTAACCCACAAACATCAAGAACATGATGCCGATGCTCACCACAGGACGGATTTGTCCCTCAACATCTCCCTCCACAAACCCACAATCGGTTCTGTCACTCCCAATTCTAGAGCAACCCAACAGGGAAGAGATCAACTTCCCATCCCCATATTGTATGCCAATGAGGAGCCTGTAGCAGTAGAATGTAAATGAGAGATATTTGATCCAAGCCAAGCAATGTGGTATCTTGTGCACATAGAATCCTCCAGTGAGAACAAATGCAAGCATTGTGATGGTTACCACTGTTGAAGCTTGCTTGGCATCCATGATGATTGCGCCCAGAGCAAGGCCCAGCCCTTGAGCCACTAGAACATAGCCAAGCAGTACTAGGATTGTCAGCAGGAAGGCGCCTGGATCAGGCCTTAACCCAGTCATCCAATAGGCCACAGTGGAAAAGACTGTAGGGAGTATGAGCTCCATGGGAAGGTCGCCTACAATTCGAGCCATGAAGTAGGAGGAAAGGGTGTACATGCCGGATGCCCGTTCTTTGATGAAAACGGCACGCTCTTGAGGGAAGGTGAAGACGGCATTGAATGACGGCATGACTCCCCAGAAGATGGCAATGAAGAAGAGGAGGCCGAGGCGGTCCTGAACATTGCGGATGTCAGAGTGCCACCACATGGAGCCAGCTAGTACTGCAGAAGTCATCACTTGGAAGACTCTGAGGGAGTTGAACGATTCATGCCTCCTCTCCTTCAAGCTTCTCTGTAGGAGGATACTGAATTGGTTGAACCAATTGCAGATACTAGTTCTGAAGCTTACTTTGATCTCTTCATGGGCCCTGTAGCTTCCTGAACGTGCTATGTCTTTGGTCATGGTGGTGCTGCCATCCATGCAGGCAGCCTTCACCTTGGGAGCCAGTAAGCTGTTATACGAGGAGACAAGAGTTTGCTTTACGTTGGGCTTATCTGCTTCACTTGATACATCAAGATGGCACACTCCTATAGAGAACATACAATGTATTAGCCCCAATTAACACTAAAGCTTTCTGATAGCTAAGAAGCACTAAATGAGTTAAATAATTAAATAAAAGGCCCTACTTAGGAGAAGCACTAACTTTTGTTTATGCATTGTATTCACATGCAATTCAATCAGTCACATTGGCTCATATGAAAAGTTGGAGAAAAAAACAAAGATTCAAAAAAGCACTGAAGTAGTACAGTCCATGTCTAGCCCAAAACCAAATTCCCTTAGTTAATTAACCGAAGTTCAAATCCAGCTTCTTGGACAGAATTTGAGGCCCAACACAGCCCAAATTCAAAATTTTAAGTGGCATTCTGGATCTGATCTGACCTCAGCCCAGCCTAGATATGCTATACTTCACAAAGACTGAATACAGTCACACTGTTGACTAGAAAAGGTAAAGACCTCACTTATACCTTTGGTCACCAACCAGAAATTAGTCCATTTTTAGATGGTCAGCCTTTTTGAACACAAGATTAGACTACACCGGCACCCCACCTTGAATTGGCATCAATCCACCCTTAGCCAATCGAACAGTTAAAAAGTGGCACTCTATATGTAAGCAGTCAAGCACCCAACTTATTGGGTCAGCCTTATCGGTTTTTTTTTTTTTTTATGTGAAGACTCCTAAGAATAGTAAGATTTAGTTAAGTTTTAAGTCTCTCTCTAATATAAACACCTTTTCTTAGAACTCAATGGCTCAATTCATTCAGAAAAAGACAGAGGCACCAATTGAGTCATCTAACTAGGAAATAGAGAAAATAAATAAGTCTAAAACAAATACGGAAAGGAAACCATAAAATTAAATAAACTAAAAAAAACATTTGGAATTGAATTAAACCACTGATCTATCAACAACTATAGGTTCATTTTTCGAATCGGTTGGCTGTCTTGAGATGTTGTCTGTCTCTTTGTTAATTCTTAAATGATAGACTCTATGAAAAAAATCCCTCACAACTGAAGGCTGATGAACCTTTCGGGCCAGAAGAGAATAAAGAAGAAGCTTCAAAAGCTAGCAACCAAGAACAAAGTTGGGATTTTCTTGAAACACTTTTCAGTACCGAAACCAAAAAAAGAAAGTACATTTACTACCAAAGACATGGTAGTTGGTAGAGATTTCAAAGCTTTTTGGACAATTTTCAAATGTAGATGGTTGATTGAGAACTGAGATGGCCATAATAAATGACATAATATGGGTCTGTTCGTTCCCTCTCCTCTTATGACAAGCACAAGACTAGAACAAAGTACAAAACAAGTCATGTATTTGCAATTGTTTTGGACAATCTTCACATGTGACCGGGTGGATTGATAATTAAGATGACCATAATAAAATGACTCAAGTATGGCTCTGTTCATTTCCTCTTCATATGACAAGCACAAGACTAGAACAAAGTATGAAAAACAAGTCATGTTTATAAAGGATGAATTATCAAAAGCAAAAGCATAAATAAATCAAAGCATCTAGCCCAGAAAGTGGAAACCATTGAATTTTAACCTGACCCTACACCAAAAAAGATATAAACAGTTAACCCAATAAGCCTTGTTGATTCCTTCTTTTTCTTTTCTTTTCCTTTTTCCTTTCTTTTAGTTGGTTATAGGGGTGTGGGGAAATCTTTTACTCCATTCAGCCATCCTAACTTTGACAAAGTTGCATTCAACCATTAGACCTAAATAAAGTTGTCACTGGATTGAGCCATCCGGATCTGCCCCATCAATGTACTTGAATTGCCTGAAGTGTGAGACTCTTTGGGGATGGGGTTGCTGGGGCAGACCGACCTTAACCCACATGGTCGGTGGCACTTTAATGTGCTTACAACTTTCGAACCATTGACAAGCTATACAAATACAATGAGCCCTAAAAGATGAAAAGCTAGCAAAATAAAATTGAGGGTCTATCACCCCAAACTCACGTTGAGTTGACTCAACTCCTATTTCTCCCCCCTACACCATACCATCTCTTCTGTCTTCTCATTGCCATAGTCTTCCTTTTCAAAGAGTTCCAAGATACAAGGGATTTGCAGTACACTATCAAAATTTAGGGAAGAAAGCAGAGAGAAAACAGCTGTAGCCTATACAAGTGTGAAAGAAAAGATGGAAGAAAATGGACAAAGAGGAAGAGAGGAAGAATGAATAGCCATCCCCACCTCCATTCCCTACTTTCACATGATCCACCTCATCAGTTCCAATATTTCAACTAGACTAGACCAAGGTCACCCATCCAAAAACAATCTGGACTTGGACTCGTCCACGCTTGTCCTATTACTACTAGCCCATGATGCCAAAGCATTCATACAAAGTCAATAAAATAAGCAGCATTCATACAAAGTCAATAAAATAAGATTTGGGGATTGGGTCTCTCTCTCTCTCTCTTCTCTCCTTTTTCTTCCTCTATCTCTATCTGTATTTCTTCATGGGCCGGTCGAAAAAGGCAGCTAGGAGGGTAGTCCACATTGTGGGCATGACCCGGATTTCAGGACGAAGTGACACAAGGAGGCCACACTTTCTCGACTGGTAGATGCTCTCTCACGCCACCCATGGCGTCATATTCTCCATAATCCAAAATACTATCATAGTGTTGGCATGATTTTAAAATATAAAAAAACAAAGGCCTGATGTTGTGGACACCCAAAAAGCCTTCATTCTCCTCCCATAATTTGAAAGCACTCTATCCATTTAGGGCCCCACCAAGATATAATATGTGAAAAGTGTGAAAAGTGTGGCCCAGTGTCCCACTCCACCACATCCCCAGCCCACATATAGCCAACTTAAGCAACCCAACAAAAAAAGATGAAAAGATAACAAAGGAAACTAGGTATATGTAATTCCACTTATGATATTTAGGTTGAAAATAGACTCCATATCATGGTTGGTCCACTCTTTTGTGCCGGTTCAAATGGGTCCATTCCAAACCACTCAGACTTTTATTGAGCAAAGATTCGGCCGAGTTATGCTTTGCCATGTGGCATGCAGAAAGAAGCTTTAGTGGGAAAGGTTGAATGAAGCAAATCAATGGCTGGTAGTGGTAATTTGAGATGAAACTGGGAGAGAAATTAGGGTTTGGGGTTGGTCAAGCAGAGTTTCAGACAGCAAAATTTATTGCAGAAGTCAAAGTTGCTGACAGCTAATTTAACCTTTACAAGCTCCACGTGATTAATCCCAAAACTCTTTAGGGCTCTTTGTAGATAGACGATATATTAATAGGGCATGGCAGCCCTGCATGTGGCTAAATATCTATACTTCTTCCATCCCAGACCTAACATCCAAGGTGTCAGAACTGAGAACCTAATTACCATTTTGGCAACTTTCAAATTAAATGAAGCACTCCCATCAAGAGGATCTGGTTGACCTAAGAAAAGGTTACAGTTATCAGCACCAGAGCACAGAAAAATTAATTATAAGATAATTGATCAACTATTCTTGATCACTTTCACTAGTTGTCCAAATCGGGAAATAATGGAATAACACATCTGATGGACAAAAAAAAGGGTTTGCTTCAAAGCTCCATTTTTGTCTATCTTTTAGCTTTAAAATGTGGATGTGTGAAACTGGAAAGTCAGTATTAAACTAATAGTTTAAAATGACTATAACATCAGTCAAAATAGTGAGTAACCACAACAATTAGAGATTAATTAATAGTGCAGCTTCTAATTAAATGTTAAAACTCCAAATTAAAAGAAAAGAAACTTATTGAAAATAATAAATGAAAAATTGGCCGTTTAAGTTTCTTTCAAGAAAAATTAATTAAAATTAAAACAAATCAAATTCATAGTTTAAAATGACTAGAACATCAGTCATAATAGTGGGTAACCACAATAATTAAAGATTAATAGTGAAGCATTTAATTAAAATTCAAACTCCAAAATAAAAGAAAAATAATGGAAACTAACTAAATGGGCAGATTGGCCCTTTGAATTTCTTTTAAGAAAAAAAAAACCAATCAAATATTAATTAAAACAATAAAATTAAATAAACCAAGTGGATAGGACATAGGATACTCTCTAGTCTACTCTAAAACCTAATAATAAAAAAAACCTGTCAAATTCCAACATAAAAAGATCCTGAAATCCTTGATGCTCCTACTTTGACCTATTAAATATGTCACCCTTCTGCCTTTGGAATCACAATAGAGATAGAGAAAACAATAAAAGGTGAAAATAAAATGAAACAAGTAGAAGGTAAAGCAAAGGTCCATCCACTCAACTTCGAGTCAAGAGACACGTGGACTGCAACGGAGCATAATTTCCCACTAAACTCATCACTCTCTCCATTCAAAGCCGGTACGTATCCAATTCACTCTATCCACTAAAGGCTAAAGTCACCACCTTTCCATCTCACCCTAATTAAACTACACCTCCTACACCGCCTCCTCCTCCTCCTCCTCCCTTCCCGACCACCACCACCCACCACCAATCCCTTCTCTCCATCTCTCACTCACTAATCACTACCCAAGCTCCCGAGTTGGAATTGCTCGACTCACTGGTGCAAACTTCAAACTTGCACCTAAACACCCCAAAACGTAGTATTCCTTGCAACCGAAATGCATTAAAGCAGCACAAGAATGCGTACCGTTGGCAAGATCGAGGAGGAAGTCGGCTGGGTTCATTGGGAAGGTCGGCGAGAAACCAACTGATGCAAAGTAGTTCATCGCCTCCGAGCCCTTGCCGAAGTAGATGCAGCTCCCCTCCGACAGAACGATCACGGAGTCGAACATCTGGTAGACTCGGCTCGATGGCTGGTGCACCGACGTCACGATGGTTTTACCCTTCTGAGCCAATGAACCCAATGTCGACACAAGCCGGTAGGCCGCCGTGGAGTCGAGCCCAGAGGTGGGCTCGTCCAGAAGAAGCAGACTTGGGTTTATCAGCATCTCGTGGGCTATGCTCACTCTCTTCCTCTCACCACCTGAGACTCCTCTAATGAAGCTGTTCCCGATGATGGTGTCTTGGCATTTGTTCAACCCCAACTCGGCAATCACCGACTCGGCCACCCTGACCTTCTCCTTCTTCGAGAGCGAGTTGGGAAGCCGGAGCAACGAGCAGAAGACGAGAGTTTCTTTCACGGTGAGGTGGGGGTAAAGAATGTCGTCCTGAGTCACGAACCCGGTTCTTCTCAACACGGGTTTAGTGAGTTTCTTCCCGTTCGCGAGTATTGTCCCGGTGAGGCCGTTCCCTTGAAGCCTCCCTGCAAGTGCATTCAGAAGCGTTGATTTGCCACTTCCAGAGGGACCAAGAATGGCCAGGATTTCTCCGGGGGACACCATTCCTGTTACTCCATTCAGAATCGTTCGCTCTTCGCTCATGCTCGTTTTCATTGTAGTCCCTTGATCGGAACCTGTGGGACCCCCCAGCATCCGTCTGATTGCACCACCACCGTTGTTCTTCCTCTCCAGCTTCAGCCGGAAATATACGTCCATAAACTGCTAAAACACAATAAAACAAAGTCAACTTCAGGGGTGCACAGTAAAACAAAGACCCTTTCTTCACTGAATCACACCGAGTCAAACTCCGTTACTCGGACAGAGCAACAACTCAGCGATGAACGGAAACCAAGAACAGAGAAGTAAAGTAGCGAACTGCAATCCAGCTTTACCTTGAGAGTAATCGGATAACAAGAAGAGATTACGGAGTCCAGATCTCGATAACCCCGACCGCACTCTGGGCCGTCGGATGGTCTCCCATTGGGGACCCGTCCTTCATCAATCACAGGCATTCTGGGTCTCACTGATCAAAAGCTGTGTCTCTATCTCACTGAATCAAAAGGAGAGAAATAGAGAAACGAAGGGACAAGGGAGGAGAAAAGAAGCATAGAGACCCTGGAGCTGAACCCAACCTCTATTTATTTAGTTTGAAGTCACAATGCTTGCCACGTCATCCCAAAACGGCCAGAGTGAAACTGCCACGTGGCTGTTGCAACCCAGGCGGTAGGTTAATCATGATTGGGCCACTGGAGCGGCCCAATTAGCGGCCCATCCATTAATTGAGAGAGAGAACAATCTCCCCAACTACTGCCGAAAGTCCGAAACTATCTGCGCAACACAAAAAACATGCTGCTGAAACTGTCAGAGGCTTGCGGGAGTTATCATTATACCTTATCCAACCCGACCCGAGTTTTTAATGCAGTGCTTCGGGTTCGGGTCTCTTCAGGAAACATGACAAATAGCGATTTCCGATGGCACGTGGTGGATAAGCTCCATGTTACCTGTTAAGCAGGTTAAACCTTGGCACATACGCCGTTGTGGATGGTCTTTTAGATCAACCTGCTGAACATGTAACCTAGGACTTTCCATCCACGTGTCTTGTGCTTAGTGGTAGCAAATTCTACCATCATTTGTTAACTCGCCACGTGTCATGAACTTGGAGTTTGTTTTTGACAGAATTGATCCGTTGGGGTGGGGCCGGTTCAAAGGTAAGTTTTGATTCTTCGGAAATGCAAAGATTATGCAATACTTTTACTTTTAGCGGTCTAATACGTGAATTATAAAGGGAATCAAAGTTGATTTTGACATTCCGGTTCAACCAAGCCGCGGGTGGTTGGTTCAACCATCAACGAGTCAGAGGAACTCACTTTGGTCAGAGTCAGAGAATCAACATATTTTTGTCGTGGTGCCTTCCAGAAGAGCCACGTCAGTACGGGAATTCCTTTCTTCTTTTGGGACGTGGGACCCACCCAAGCTTGAAAAGCCTCTGACGCGTGTCTAAAAAACAGCCCCCTATAGCGTGAGCACTACGAACGTGCTACCCACCCTGGAAATTTTAGGAATATCCCTAAACTAGCCCCGGTAGAAATTTCTTCTTTTTCGTTCCTAAAACTTTTAGCTTTACTCAGCGTCTCAGCCTTCCTCGCTTTTTTCCCGGAAATAGTACAGCAATTCGGATCATGATGATGAAATCTGGTACGCTGAATTGGCTTATCATGGGCATCTTTACGGTATTTTCTACGTATTGGGGCTAAAAGGAGTAGATGATGGAGACTTTAGATGAAAGCAGATGGATTTAGATCAGATTAATGGGAGGCCGTACATCCAATTCTGGGAGAGTGGGTAGGTCCCACGCATGCTTTAGGCTCGCATATCAGCCACTTTTGCGTCAATGGGACCTTTGATTCTCTCACACAGAGGAGAGAAGGGCATAGAGAGAGAGTGGAGCTCCGAAGTGCGTACACGTGTAGGTTTAAAGGGGCTTTTGAGTGGAAATGCAAAAGTTAGCAGAAGCTGCTTTTGAAATCGCCATGTTGATAGGACCTAGAAAGTGACGTCTAACGGTCTAAGAGTATGGGAGTAGGGATAGGAGCGGGACCGGAAGCCTGGAGCGTAGATTGACCATGTCTGCGAAAATTCGTCTAGGCTCAATTTGTTTGCAGTGCAAAATTTATTTGCACTAGTGTAAATGATTGGGACTGCAAATGGGTTGAGTGTAAATTCTGTTTTAGAGTTGCTTCAGAACTGACTTTGTCTTTTTTTTTGTTTGGGAGAAGTGAAATAGAAATTATGCGTCTCATGAAAGAGAATTGATGTAAGAGGAAGGTGGGTGAAGATTTATGTCAATTTTTGGAAGGTGGTGCAGATTTGCACTGCCAGTGAGTGCAAATGAGACAAAAAAATATATCTATATAAATTTTGCATCAAGTAGGGGTGAAAGAAAACCGACCCAACCATGAAGGGTTGGTTTGGGTCAGTTTCTGGGTTTGATCAGGTCGGTCTACTAACCATGCTTGACTCTCCTTAATCCCAACTTTTGGGCATGATGACTATGACTTTTTGGGCCATGTCCACTCCTTTTTTAAAGCCAATTATTCTTTTAAAAAATTTAAAAAATTAAAATATACTATAACATATAATATTAATATATGTCTATAATTGGTTTGGGTCGATTTTGGTCGGTTTACATATGTTCAAACCAAAATCGGCCCAAGACGTCGGGTTAATCTATTTGAATTTTGAAGAACCAAAACCAACAGGCAATTTAAGAAACCTGCCAAACTCGGGGCAAGTTGGATTGGCTTGGTCGGTTTAACCAAATTGATGAATAGGCCTAGTGGGCCTTGGCATGCCTTGAAGCAATGGTTGGGTTGCAACATTGTGACTTGGGTGACCAAGGTTCAAATCTTGGAAACAAACCTTGCATTGGTTGGAGTCTCATGCATAGGGGTGTTCAATACACCAGATTTGGGTTCGACCTTATCTAAATCAAAATAAATTTGAACTGATTGGATGGGCCAATAAGACATTGAATTGGACAAATCCAAACTTAAGAGTCCAAAGTATTTATTAGATTGGATTGTACCCAGTCCAATTGTAATGGATTTATATTGGACTGGGTTGGATTAAACCATTATATGTTTCATTGACACAAGATAATGGTTTAATGGTTGGATTAAACCACTATATGTTTGGGTTGGATTCATTCTAAATTAAAACCAATTTGAACGGTTTGGATGGTCCACACATTGAATTGGACCAATCCAAAATCATCTTAAAATATTCAATGGATTGGATTGGACCTAGTCCATTTGTAATGGATTCATATTGGACCAGATCTGATTGGACCAATATTCAGTCCATTTACAGCCCTACTTGTGTATTGGGCTGCCCTTTAGGGCCTGTTTTTTTTTTTTTTTGGATTTTGAGAGGTGGGAAAGTTGGACAATGGGATTTTGCTTCCCATTTTCTTTTCTTAGATTTATGTGGGGTCTATGGAAAATTTATTTTCCCTGATACCCATCTCCTGGGTGGATAAGTAACTTTTCCACCCGGGGGAAAGTTGTCAACACTTGAATGGGCTAAATTGTCCCTCTTAATTATGATTTTTTATAGCTAAAAAGGGTTATTTTCTTATTTACCTAAGAAATAAAAGAATATTGATAAATGTACTTACTCGAATAACTGTTTCCTACAGGTAAATGCACTTAGATAAATAATACTAGGACCTTAAGTGTACAAACAATTATAGTTACATTCACATTGATGCAAAACTGAATCAAATACAAAATTTGCATCCAGATCAGATTTGCACCCCAAACAAACACAGCCCTAAAGAATGCAAATTTTCAAAGCTTATGTATAAGGATTTATTTTTTAATAGAAAAAGTTAAAATTAAAAGAATTAATATCTGAACAAATAAAAAGGGCTTTTGGGCAGAAGCATTCTTCTCTCTTTTCTTTTTTTATGCATTCCTCTTTTCTCTTTTCTTTCATTTTTTGACAAGTTGGTCAGTGGTCAGCAGTTTTTCTGAGATGCTAAAGTGAATTGGGTCATAGATTTGGAATAATAATAATAATTATTATTATTTTTTTTGGAAGCACCGACAGAAGCTTTATAAGATACATCAAATAGCTAGTTGACCTATATTTAGGGCTGAGGGGAGGAACATTTTGGAGTTCTTTCATGGCTCAGCAAAATTGCCACGTGTCTAACAACTCATGCCTATTAATTTTAATAGAGCAAATTTATGATGCGGGAAAGATATGGTATGGAATCAAGATCCACCCATGAAATTTGATAAATAATACTTTATTCCTCTAAATATATACTATATGTTATGTAGAAACCATTTGAAACAATCATTATGTTATCATTGTTATTTATATTATCGTTGAATGGCATGTGCAAGAGATGAGAAAGAGGAAAAATAAATAGATCAAAATTTTGAATTGGCATAAGGCCTAGGCAAGTATTGGCGTATTTTATATGGTAAAACTTAATTTGCTTACTAAAGTTAAAGAAAAATTCTCAATTAGTATCTTGTACTTTGATTTTAGTGATAATTTGGTATCCAAGCTTTAGAATGCGACAATTCAGTATTCAAACTTTCAAAATGTGGCAATCTAGTATTTGTCATCAATCAGCCGTAAAGTGACATTTGAAAAGTTAAAATTGTTCCTCAAATGCCATCTAATTATCTTTATCAACCAACCAAATGTTGATAAAAAAACTAAACAATCCCAAATCCTATCCTCTTCTATTCAAAAAAGTTAGTGTCTGTTTAGAAGAATCTAGAATTTGGAACTGTTTATTATCAATGTTTGGATGGTTAATAAAGAAAACTATTCTTAGTGCATTTTTGACTTTTCAAATGTCACTTAATGGTTGATTAATGGACAGATTAACGGCATGTACTAGATTATCATATTCTAAAAGTTTGGATACTGGATTATTGCATTTTAAAGTTTGGGTATCAAATTATCAGGTTACTGATTGGGAATTTTCCCTAAAATTAATATCAAGACTGAAGACTCTTTTTATATGTATAAAAGATAGGTCTTATAATTATAACCATAGTGCTAAAAATATAAGTAATAGGAAAGATACTACGAAAAGAATTCCATTACCCAATGTTGATCCTAACTATTTGAGGTCTTGGAAGTTAGGATGGTTTGGATATAGGCCTAACCATCAGTAATTTAGTGCGAACTGTGCATTAGCACAATCAAAACTCACATAATTGGGAGTATTTTTTATTTTTATTTTTTCATATGCGAGTAGTTTTGTTTTTCAAAACAAAAACAATTCCGGGTCGAAAAGCAAGTGTTTTATTGTTTTTTTATACATTGAAGTTGCTTTTATTTTGAGAAATAAAAACATTCATATTGATGAACATTATTTACATGAGCTATTAAGGGTAGGGTTTTCACTTATATCCTTTAATCTATCACACAAAGCCAACAAGTTCAAATCAATTAGGCATAAATAGGCAAGAACTAAAAACAAACAAATATATGTTTATCCTACTATAATATATATATACATACATACATATATATTCCTTCATTTACACATTTACTCATTTAGGCATCAATTAGG